CTGTAGGTCAAAGTTTCCTTTCCCTTCCCTCTCTTTCCTTGTCATCATAGGATCATAGATTTAGAACTGAAAGGAAACACCTTCCACATGATCTAGTCCAGCCCCATCATTTTACAGATGAAGAAATCGGCCAAGAGGGAGGTTAAGTGCTTTGCTCAATGACACACAGGTAGTATGTGGCAGAGCCAAAATTCGAACCCAAGTTCCCTAACTCCTGAGTCAGCTCTCCTTCCACACTACCTCATTCTTTCTGTGCTTACATTGATCTCCATTCTCGTTTCTGTGTGTCTAGCTCTGCCTCACCTGGCCTTTTTCTTCCTCTAGAGCACACTCCCATTTCCTTCTTTCACATGTCCATCTTGCTTGTGGCTTGTATGTCTGAGAGCTCTTCTGTTTCTACTTTCCTCTTTTCACTCTATTTCTGTCTCAAGCTGTTCAGTTCTCTCTGTTTTTCCCATCTGTCTCCTTCTCCACGCTGGGAACAAAGTGACCATGTTTGCGCAGGACGTGCCTCTCTCTAGTCGCTTTCACTCCTTATCCTTGGATTCCACCGTGCCCCTCCGCACATTCCAACTGCAGACAAAGAGTCCTCCCATTGGCCCCTACACTCTTTCCTCGACTGCGTCTAAGGAGGTGCAATAACGACTCATTAATTGTCCTCTGCTCTCCTGTCTCCACTATCAAAAACTGTACTATATCCAGAAAAGAGAGTTAACCCCAGTCTCCCTCCCTCAGAAAGGGTGAATTAAAGATTCCTGCGCTGATACCCCCACCTCTTTCCCTTCCTACGGGCACACCGCGCTCCGCCCTTCCATGAAAGTAGGTCCGGCTGGGCAGACAAAAGTTTAGGAGAGAAGTTCGAGTCGGGTGCTTAAGTGTGGAAGCTAAGGGGGGGTAGCTAGGGGGGCGGGGGCCAAAGGGATCCAGGAGCTAGGGGAGGCAGGGCCAGCCCTCAGACTGATGAACAGATAGACTGGTGGATAGAACAGCTGCAGCCTTAGGTCCCCCCATCCCCGTATACTCCCTGATGGGTGGGGGAGCCGTACCCTTCTCCCTAGGGGATGCTGTGGGTTCCTGGGCGCCGGGTACCCGGGCCGCCAGCTGAGCCCCCGTGCCCGTCCAGTGCTCCCCAGGGGTCTAGATTCCTTCGGCCAGGGAGAGGGGGAGCAGCCCGAAAACAGCCGGGGGCCAGGGCAGGGAGGGGGCTCGAGGCCCCGACCCGAGGGTATGGAGCGACTGGGAGAGAAAGCCAGCCGCCTGCTGGAAAAGCTGAAGCTCTCCGACTCCGGCAGCGCCAAATTTGGCCGCAGAAAGGGGGAATCGAGCCGGTCTGGGTCTGATGTGACCCCTGCTCCTGGAAAGGGGAGATTGAACGGGTCCGGGGGCCCCAGGAAGCCTGGGACCCGGGGAACTCTTGGAGAATCTGAGGATGAACCACTGGAAGCAGCCCGCGAGCAGGGCCCCCTGGAGGCTGAGCGAATCCGACGCTACTCTTTTGAGGCGCCGCGCTACGAAGTTACTTTCCCCGGCGGGGCGCCCCAGCCCCGGGCCTTGCCTCTACCCCAATCGCTGCTCCCCGATTTGCGTCTGGAGACTTTGGCCCCCGCCTTAAGCCCCCGTTCTAGCTTCGCCAGCAGCTCCGCAAGCGATGCCAGCAAGCCGTCTAGCCCTCGGGGCAGTCTGCTCTTGGACGGGGCGGGGAGCTGCGGAGCTGGTGGCAGCCGGCCCTGCAGCAACAGAACCAGTGGCATCAGCATGGGCTACGACCAACGCCACGGTAGCCCCCTACCCACTGGGCCATGCCCCTTTGGCCCTCCATTCTCTGGGGCTCCTACAGGCTTTCCTCCGGGAGGTGTCCCCTCCGCCTACCCCGACCTCCATGCTGCCCTAGACCGTCTTTGCTCCCACCGGCCCACGGGTTTCGGCTTTCAAGAGAGCCGTCACTCGTACCCACCGGCCTTGGGCAGTCCCGGAGCCCTGGCCGGGGCTGGGATGGGAGCGACTGGGCCCTTAGAGAGGAGAGGGGCGCAGCCTGGACGACATTCTGTGACCGGCTACGGGGACTGCGCGGCAGGCGTCCGCTACCCAGAGGAGCTGGCAGCATTGCTGCGGCTAGCTGTGGGAACCGGAGGGCGGGAACCAGGCGCCCACGGGGAACCCCCCGGTACAGAATCCTCCGGGACTGAAGAACAGCCTGGCCCCTTCCCACTAGAGGCAGGCCGGGGTCGGGCCCGGGAACTTGAGTCTAAGGAGGACTACTTCGGTGAGTGAGGGCGGAAGGGTGGACTGGGGCTGGAGGGATAAGGTACCCTAGGGCCAGCACCCTGCAGTGTGGCAGGCTCTCCACGCATTTAAGTTGAAGAGACAGGCAGTGGATACCAGAGGCCTCTACCCACTTAGTCCAGTTTCTGATGGACCAGAATATCCAATTCTTTACATCTTCAGGTCTCCAAGTCATCCAGTGGGTCCCTCTTCACACCCCCCCCCAAGCGGTCACAGTTCTGATTTTTTTCGGCCGCTGGAGGTGCTTCAGGGGAACAGGGCAGGAGTGGGATAGACAGAGCACCCCCCAGCCTGGTTCCCCTTTTCCCGGCGGTGCCCGAGCAGGCGCCTGCCCGCCTTGCCCCCACCCCATCCCCTGTCTCCGCCCGCAGGAATGCGGGGAATGCAGGGGTGGTGGGGGGTGGGGAGGGCTGGCTGCGTGCTGGCTCCTGCCCGGCCCGCTCCAGGTGCCCGCAAGGCGGGGCGGATTGGGAGGGGGGTGCCTTCCTCCGCACACGCCTTGCGGCCCGTCGGGGAAATGAAGCCAGTGAAGCTGGAGGGAGTGCCTTGGGGCGGGAACGGGGACCCAGGTGCCTGCCCCACCCCGCCTAGACTGCTTGCAGACTTCAAGCATTTACTAGTAAGTAGACCTGGCAGTGCCAACTTCATATACACTCCCCCCTCCCTCAATCTGTCCCCACCTTCCAAAGGTCAGGGCAGGAGCAGAGAACCACAGAGACTGATGCCGAAGTAATTTACACTATCGTCATTGAGGTAGTGACCTGGAGTGACTGCTAGCAACAAGCAGCTTGGCAGTGACCCTGGCTACGGGTCAATATTTGCGGTTGGACCCAAAGGCTAGAAGGCCTCGACTATCCCCCTACAGCCTTCCCACTCCCATCCCTAGGACTGAGCCACTAGATTTTCTAAGGGCATAGGGGACTCCGTTAGTCTCCAAGATTTTCCCTCTTCAGTTTGATCTGGCAAATACGTATTGATTGAAGACTATTTTTTGCCTAGCTGAGGGGGACCTCAGTAGTGTGGAACCTGACTTCAAGAAGCTTATCCACTGCTAAGAAAAATACTTGCATTGTGGATGCAAGTAAGTAATAAGAAAATGTTAGACCATGCAATCAAATGCCTAGACTTGTGAGACCCAGGCAAAGAGATCACATTCAGATGTTGAATCCTTGAATTTGCATATGATTTGCCTGCATTCTTATCTACTGGGTGGTTTGTCCCCTAGCAGTTTTTCTAGTTAAAGGTTTTATTCTTGGTCCTGTGAATGCAGTCTTTTTCTCTTTCTCACCTGCCTCTATTGTCATTGATCCAAAGCCCCCTCTTCTCCCCCCCCAATTAGAACTATGAGGGTTCTACAGGGTGGAGGGGAAGAGGTAATCAGGAGAAGGGTTCCAGGGATAAGGAAGCCAAGGCTGGCTTGGAGGGCATTATAGCATTCATCCCCAGCCCCCACTCCAAGCCAGAGGCTGAGAGAGGAAAGCAGAGGATCTGATTCCTGATCTTTTTGGTGCAAAGAGAGCAGATAAAACAGGCAGGCAGGAATCACCTGGCAGGGCCTCTTGGAACATTGCTTTTGGGGCCCAAGGAAGGTGGATGTTAGGTTGAAGCAGCCTCTTCCTTTAAACCTTTAATACCTAGAAAATTATGGAGGAATCCAGAAAGGATGTGATCAGTCAGAAAGGACTGGGGTGTGTGTAGTGGTGGGTTACGGGTGTGATGCCGTAAAGAAGGAGAGGTGAGTGCACTCCCTGTTTTCCCATAATTTCCTAGGCTTCCTGGTGAGGTGGCTCTGACACATGGCCCCTTGAGGCATGGCTCTCCTGGTATGGATCTTTCCTGCCAGGGAGGCTGTATTCAGAGCCCTGAGGCTGAGGCTCATACCTCTCTACCCTGGGCACTAGATCTACTTTCCCCACTGCAGATCCCCTAATAATCTTTCCCCCTATCTCCCCATATACCTTGTATGATCACCCCAATGTAAGTGCCCCCCTCTCCCTGCTAGCTAGTCCTGGCCCATTTTTCCCTAGCTGTATCCTTGCCCAGCTGCTGTAGGGTGGAGGCAAAACAGGTCCAGGCCCATCAGATGCTGCAGCTGCAGCACGAGGCTCCCAAGCCCCTGGGCTCGAGCTGGGATGGGCCTCAACTTGCAGGTCGCAGGGCTGTGCTTGGGCAGGAGCACGCCACACCACAGGGGGAGGGGCAGGCCCAGCTCCCATTCAGATCTGATCTCTTCTTGGGGCTGGCTCTGAACCTGGGGGCCTCACGCTTTACACAGGCTTGGCATGGAGATGGGGACATGGGTGAGAAATAGCTAGAGTAAGATTCCCCCATGCCTGGGAGAGTTGCAGCCACTCAGCCCCCTTCTTTCACCAAAAAAGAAAAAGAAAAAAAGGGAAAAAGAAAATGGAAAGGGCAAGGAGGTCTCTGTAAACTTAGCCCCATCCTGCCTATCCAATCATATTTTTTATTACTCCCTAATCTCCATTTGAACTCTCCATGCCACACAGACTTGTCTCACTGTCCACCTCACTACCCACCATGCTTCTTCCTGTCTTCATGCCTTGCTGCCCTCCTCCCTATTCAAAAAAAATTCTACTCATCCTTAAGAATCATAGAGTATTAGACCAGGAAAGGACCTTAGACATGACTGATTCCAATTTTGTTATTTTTCAAATAAGGAAACTGAGGTTCAGATAAACTATTGGGAGACAGCTCATGCACCCAAATCCTCACTGAAGCCTTCTCAGATTACTTCTGCTCTATCCCTTCTGAATTCTTCTAGGAATTCTTCATCTTGTGTATGCCCTACAGTTTAGGACTTGATAATATACAGTATGTATTGTTATATTGTTTGGGATTGTTTTACATATTGGTCTTTTCTTCACAAGTAGACTGTATAACCTTCTTGAAGATTCCTCTGTCTCTTCTTATGAAGCTTAGCCAGGGTTGGGCATGTCAAAACTCAAATGATATATTTAATGAGTGAACAGTCCTAGGACTGCTGGCTCTGCTTTCTCTCAGCATATCCAGGACCTTCTGCCCTCTTTGCTAAGAAGGAAGAGCCTGTAAAAACCATTTTCTACCCTGTTTTCTCAAGTCTCTTTCCTGTGCCCAACAGGGTAGAGAAAAGGGGAGAAGGGTATGTTATTTGAGGGTCAGAGGAGGAAGGGTACTGGTGTGGTGACCTCTTCTCTTTTCCCTTCTCACAGGCACATGTATAAAGTGTAACAAGGGCATCTATGGGCAAAGCAATGCCTGCCAGGCCCTGGACAGTCTGTACCACACCCAGTGCTTTGTCTGCTGCTCTTGTGGTGAGTGAAGCCCTCCTCTAAACAAGAATGGATGGGGCAGGTATAAAGGTCTCAGAGAGAAGGAATGGCAACATCTGGGTCAGGACAAGGATTGGAGCAACATGAGAGCTCTTGATCATTAAATTTCTCAGTGGAAAGCTTTTGGGCATCTACCGAGTATCTGGTACCTAGTTCTTTCCTATTTCCTTCCTTCTCTGCCCGTGTGTCTTTATTTCCCTCTCTTTTTCTGTCTTCTCTCACTGCATCAGGTAGTCTGCCCCTCCTTCCCTTGCTTTCTCTACTGATCTGTTCCCCCCTCTCCTTCAGTCGGCCATCCTTTTTTTCTTTTCCCTCCTTTCTCATGTCTGTCTTCTTTTTTTTTCTTCCCTCCGTCTTTCTCTGTTGTGTTCCCTGCCTGCATAGCCTAGGCTCTGGACTCTGGGCTCTGAGCTTTGGGTCCGGGCCTGCAGCCCTGTGCTTGGTGGGGTTTAGTCTTGGGCAGCCAAGTTGCCTGGGGCGACAGTGAAAGACAGGAATGTGGAAGGGGAGGGGGGGGTGGGCCTAGGGAATGGGGAGCTGTGGGGGAGCTGGGAGAGGGGTTTTCTCTTGGCTGGTCAGAGTTCAGCCACCTCTCTGGAGTGCAGGCCACTGGGCCATGCCAAGCTGATGACATCACGCTACAGGAATGCCCACTGTTAGCTCAGGAGGCTGTGCAGGGGCTCCCTGTCGGCCCTGACTCCCCCTGTCCCTCCCTCACCATCCCCTCCACTGCTGGTCTCCTGTTCTGATTCCTTTGCTAAACCTTTAATCTCCTATCTCTGTCTGTCTGATGATCTGACTCCCTCTTTTTTTCTCTTTCTTCCTTTCCCTTCCCTCCCCCATTTGACTCTCAGTTGTTGTCTTTTTCTGACTGTTTCTTACTTTCAGCTTGTACTCTTGCCTCCAAACCCCACCCCCCTTTCTGTTTTTCTCCTTAGTTTTCAGATCCATTTTTACAACTGCCCAAACAGAGCTATGCATGGAAGCTCTAATGGGAAGACAGCAAAGGTGGGAAATATTCCCGTTCTTGCTTTGAGGTCCATCAATTGCCCTAGCCCTCTGTCCCCCATTCCCCACCCCCAAGATCTGTGAGACTCTTTGCACTAGCTTGTGGGACACTGATGGAGCTGAAAGAAATCTTTAGAGTATTCGGAGTGCATCCTGGGGCTGTCCCTGATCTTTGGGGTTGCTGAGATCGAAGGGCATAGCCCAGGATATCAGGAAGCACAGCCTGCTTTGCCGCCAAAGCATTTTGTCCTGGTCCCAGTATCCCATGATCCTCCAACAGAGTTCAGCCCCAAGAGGGAGTTAGCTGAGGGGAAGGGCACAGGACCAAGCTATTCACAGAAACAGAAGATGAGAACTCTGTTGTTCTTTTTTACACAGCTCCCAACATGGAGTAATGTGCATTAGGAATTTTTAGAAGTAGATGGTGATGATGATGATGATGATGATGGTGATGGTGATGAAATCTCTCTTTCCTGAGATGAGGGTTGGGAGAAATTTCAGAAACGGTTGTTTGGTATTTGACCAAGGGAGGGAACAAACGTTTTTTATACCCCTGCTATGTGCCGGATACTATGCTAAGCACTTTATAAACATTATCTTACTTGATCCTCACAACCCTGGAAGGTAGGTACTATGATCATCCCCATTTTACAGTGAGGACACTGAAGTAGATAGGTTAAGTGATTTGCTAAGGGTCACACAGCTAGTGAGTGTCTGAGGCTGGATTTGAACTCAGGCCTTTCTGATTCTAGGCCCTTTGCTGTATTTAGTTGTGCCATTTGGCTACCTTTAGAGGTCATAGGTGAGGACAGGTGGAGTGAGGGCAGAGTGGGATTTCATGGAAGGGGAAGGGATAATAACATTGCTTTAGGTGTTGGGTAGGGTGGCTTAGCTTGAGTCTAGCAAGGTGACTTGAAACTAGATCATGAAATATATGGAGTATGGGCTGTGTTGGAGGGAGTAAAAGACTGAAAGGTATAATCTGTTTTCTGGGAGGAACTTCTATCCTGAAGAGGTAGTCTTAGATGCTTCGTGGATCCTGAAGGAAGTTGGGATTGTGTAATAGATTCTCAATCCCCCTTACTTCTCTTCTCATTGGGTTCCAGGGAGGACACTTCGATGCAAAGCCTTCTACAGTGTCAATGGTTCTGTCTACTGTGAGGAGGATTACTTGGTGAGTCAGGACTGATTTTTTTGTTCATTGTGCCTAGGATTGGCCCCCACTGGCATCGCTTCCTCTTTCCCCATGTAAGGGGTCCCCTTCATTAAGTCCCTTTCACCTTGTGGTCACATCACTTTCAGTTTGATGACAGCCTTTTCTCTACCTTCCACCCTTCTAGTTTTCAGGGTTCCAGGAAGCAGCAGAAAAATGTTGTGTCTGTGGTCACTTGATCTTGGAGAAGGTAAGGAAAATTCAACTGGATTGCTGTTACTAGTGGGGTGTTTTAGGAGGGGGCAAGATAATCAAGGGCAATGGAGACTGAAGAGTCAGGGATGACTTGGAAAGGGTTGGGGCAGATGGTCTAAACCTTCCTGTAATTCAGTGTGGTATAATGGAAAGAATGCTAGATTGGGGATCAAAGGCCCTAGGTTCAAATCCTGGCTCTGACAGTGTGACCAGGGGGCCAGCCACTTATCCCTGTTTCCTTGTCTATGAAATGAAGGGGTTGGACTAGATGGTCTCTAAAGGCCTTTGTGGCTCTAAAAGCTATAATTCCTATTTCACTCCAAAGCCTATCATAGCTTCCTCTTGCATGGCACTCAAAAATCCTCCGTGATGTGACCTGACTTTACCTGTCTAATCTTATCTTCCTCCTGTTCTTCAACATGCACTCCTGGTCTGTCACATTCGGTTTGTCTTCTAGTACTCCGCATGTACGCTACGTTCATCTTTGCTGGTCCTATTTTTTTTCCATCTGCAATATCTTCCCTAGCCCTTCTGTCCAGCGCCATCTTTCCAGGTGTAGATCACGACCCTTTCTCCATGAAGCCTTCTCTAACCCCTACTCACACTGATCTTTTTCTTCCCTAACTCCTGTGGCTTTGGAGTCTTTGCCACATAATCATGTATATTTGATTTCCTAATGTTCTGTAGGGTTTCATGTATATATGAAAACTTTCATTATAAGTTCTTTGAGGTCATTCGTTTGGCAAACTTTTATAAAGCACCTACCATGTGCAAAAATGCTGTGCTGGGTGCCTGTGGAAGGTTCCTTATCCTTTCCCTGTTCCTTAATATTACAAATCTTGTAGAGGTATAAGACAAAAATACAGGTAACACAAAGTTATCTTTTCAAGGGAGAAGTTTAAGAACCATTTCTTTGCTTTCAGTATAGTGAAAAGCTCACTAGGATGAGAATCAGTAGACTTCTGGGACCTTGGACAAGTCACTGAATGAATCTTTCTAAGCCTTAGTTTCTTCATCTGTAAAATGAAGATATTGAATCTAGTAGTTTATAAGGGTCCCATCCAGGCTTAATATTCTATGATTCTTCTCTTGGATCCTCCACTGTGCTTTACTCTGTGTGTGTGTGTGTGTGTGTGTGTGTGTGTGTGTGTGTGTGTGTGTCCCCAAGATTGTGCTGACCCTTAACAAATGCTTATTGGAACAAAAAGAAAGGCAGAATGAGAAGGCTGGGTTGGGGGTTATAAGGCTGCAGCCTGATATAAGTTGGTACCTGGAAGGGTAGAATGGTACAAAAATTTGGGCTCACATCCACACTAATCATACTCCTTTCCCCTCCTCCCACAACTGAGTCAGATCCTGCAGGCAATGGGGAAGTCTTATCACCCGGGGTGCTTCCGCTGCATTGTCTGCAACAAGTGTTTGGATGGCGTACCTTTCACTGTGGACTTTTCCAACCAGGTATACTGTGTCACCGACTACCACAAGTAAGTTCTACCTGGGAGGTTGGGGGAGACAGAACTGGGGCCTGAGGTAATACTGGTTCTCTGAGGCCCGAGATACGTTCCCAATTTGAACTTGCCTCTGCCTTCTCTGTTCCAGAAATTATGCCCCAAAATGTGCTGCTTGTGGCCAGCCCATTCTCCCATCAGAGGTCAGTATATCTGGGTTTATGTGGAGCAAATAGATAGAGCTGATGCCAGTGTTTAAGAAAGACCTGCTGCTTAGGCTATCTCCTTTCGTCACCTCTCCCCACTCCCACAAACACCTTCTGCAAGCACTCATGGTTGAATCAGAAATATTTCAGGCCAATTCCTGGGTGGCTCTGCATTTCACATTAAAAAGCACAAAAGACTCACCTATAAATGTTTTCCTTCCTTGAAACTTTGTTTCAAATGAGTGGTACGGCCCTCACACTGAGACCTTTGCCTCATACCCCAAAAGAATTTGGGTCCCATTTGTTTGAAGGGGGAATGATGGGGTACAGGTCCAAGCCAAAACCTTTGCCCCTTACCCCAATAAGAATTTGTGTCACATTTGTCTGCAGGCCCTAGAAAACCCCTCCTTGTATTCTCCTTGAACTCTCTCACTTGGTCAAGGAAGTCTCTAGTGTTCTCCTGAGGCTATAATCCTATAAACTGGCCTTTCATTATCCCCTATACCCAATTTCCCAACTCTCTGTTACCCTTAGCTTAGCCCAGCCCTCCACTGTCTGTTACCTCCAGAGGGCCCCCTGTTACTTTCCACCCTTGATCCTATTTAGACCCCATTCTGTACCTCACAGTCACTCCCATCAAGGTCCTCTTTAGACCCCTTCTCCAGTCACCCCAAACTGCTTGGCCATTCCTAGATCGCTCCTACAGTCTTTCTGTATGTGAAGTCCATCTGGCCTCCATTAAGGTGCTCAGATTCTTAAAATCTAGTCAATAGCTTACAAATGTTCAGATTTCTTAAGAGTCTGGCCAATATGGTGGATCTTTAATAAACCTTGTCTTTGGCTGAAAGAAGGGTTAGGTCAAATTCATTTGGGCAGGACCCGTGTGTCACTATTGTAAGATCCCAGCACCCCGAACCCTCGACATATGATTCTCTGAACCTCAATATAAACTAGCCCTTTTTCCCTTATCTTATTAGGGAATAAATATGTCACAGAACCCTTGATCTGACTGCATTTAAGTAGATTCAGGAAGAGGGCTGGTAGGAGAGCATCCTTGAACTTACTCTTAGATGGAATGTGCCAGAGAAGCAACTGAGGTCATAAGCAAGAGAGCTCATAGAGAAACCAGAGCCCATCAGCTCTTACTGTTCCTGGGCAGGGGTTATTTCCTGTCCCTCCCCTTCAGGGTAAGGCCACCGTGTTTGATCAAGCCCAACCCGCTTCATCCTTACCTTTCCCCTGCTCCCTCCTATCCACTGATGTGCAAGGCAGAACTGTCTGAGAGGAGCCCTTTAGCTTCTAGAAGGACAGTCTCATGGTGCCACATATAGCAACAAACTGAAGTAGGGTCACAGCAATGTGCCAGCTGGAATTTAGCTGTGGGAGAGGAGGAGGAGGGTTTGCAGTAGCCACCAAAAGGTATGTTTCACCTCAAAATGGCAGTGGGGGCAGGGGGTATTTATATCCTCATAGTCTGGGTGAGGTGTACATTTGTGGGTGAGATCCAGCATCCTCATTCCTGCCCTTGTAGTTGGGAGTTTTTGCCTTTTGTTTCAGGGCTGTGAGGAGATTGTGAGGGTGATATCCATGGATCGAGATTACCATTTTGAGTGCTATCACTGTGAGGTGAGTGTGGGGCTGGGGAAGAGGCAAGATTACTTGGTGTTAAAATCTCTAGAGTGAACTTGGGCTTATGGGGGAGATAATAATAACTGCTCACATTTACATGGTACTTTGTAAGCCTAGAAATAGTTCCCTCACAACAAACCTATGAGATAGGTAAGATAAGTATAATTACTTAGTCCACATTTACAGGTGAGGAAACTGAGCCTTGAAAACAGGTAAAGTGCGTTTCTCCAAGGTCACAATAGCCAGTTAGTGGCAGAGCTTGGATGTGAGCTCAGGTCTTCTGACTCACAATGTGGTGTTCTTTCTCCTATATGATGCTTGAAAGCCAGGAAGCCAGGGGAGCTCATCGATACCACTCTTCAGGCCCTGACTGCTCAGCTTCTTCCTTGTTTTTCTCCCTTCTGGGGCAATGGGGACTCCAGATCCAAGGAGAGAGCCTATCCCAGCATTTCTATTGCAGCAGCGACACCTGGTGTCTGGCTGGAGCATTGACTGAAGTTATGTCTTTGGGGAAGCCCCTGCAAACCCAATCAATGGGGAATGAGAGGTTGGAAGCTATAGTCAGATGGCCCTGAATACTCTGGGTGGCCCTGTACTAGATGTGATCTATGCCCTTGTTCCACAGGATTGTCGAATGCAGCTGAGTGATGAGGAGGGCTGCTGCTGCTTCCCCCTGGATGGACATCTGCTCTGCCATTCCTGCCACATGCAGAGGATCAGCGCTCACCAGGGCACTGCCAACTATGTCTGAGCTGCCACCTCCATCAGTTCCTTCTGGATCCCAAACTCCAGCCGTCAAATCCCTCCTAGACAGTGAGCAGTGGAGAGCCCATTGGGGTGGAGGTGAGGGGTACAGGAAAGAAGGCAGGGCAGGTGGGTATACTGCAGGGCAGATAGAGGATAAGCTGGAGATCAAAAGACCCAAAGAGGATGATATCCTATTTGGGATGGAGAAGGATCTTTCCCAGTACCAGAA